TTGTGCTAGTGTTGGGATTATGTCATGTTTATAGCATAAAAAGTACTCTTTCTTTTTCTTACTCTTTCGTAGACTGAAGTCAAATCTGCTATCTGTTCTYTGGATAATGCAAAGCTTCAGAATCTTGCCAATGAACTGAGGAGGCAAATACAAGTGCCAGCCTTGCCCAATGCTACAGCACRACTTAATTTGGTATGTGTTTTTTTCAGCCCAGAAGTTGCTTCAGTGTTTGATCTTTTAAAGTTAGCTGTGCTTGGACTTTGATCATTCAAAAGTTGTTTTAAGGCTTTGAAAAAAGTTTTCTCTTGACTGTATTTTCCCCCCCATACCTTTAGTTGGAAATACAGAGAAGACTTACCAAGGACCTGCAGGACTTATCTCAAGATGTAAGTGACGTTCATGTTTTAAGATTGTAACCACTAGAAGTACTCTACCCTATTGTAAAAACCCACTAATCTTCACCACACAGGAGTTAACTGTAAAAATGCAGTTAATGGGTGGTTTTAGGGGTTTAGGAATGTTGTATTATTTTAAGTCGCTTGACATTCTCCTGCAATAAGTATTATTTCTTTCTTTAACATATATAAGGGTGCCAATGGGATTAGTATAGTAGTTAACTGACAACCTAAAATTAGTAGTTAACAGTTACTTCATTATTTTGGTTAATTGCCAGGGCTCGTAAAATTATTACGGTTAACTGACATTAGGCCCAATAATTAGTACTGTAGTTGATTGACAATTATTGGGTACCCCCATTGACACTCTCCTATGCATGTTAAAAGATTATTTTATACCACGAATTGATTCAAAAACAAGATCCTAGGACATTAAATACATGTATCCAGCCTGAAGATATTTATAACTTTAGGTTTTGCTTGAGCAAAAAGCAGGATTTTTATGTTATATTTATTTAGATTTTTCTAATTACAATATTAACAAAATTCAAATCCATTTTACTAAGGGCTTGGCATTGGTACCATTAGAAAAGCTGCTCTCAGACTATACAGACATATCAAGTAGCTTGGGTTCTGGAGGCAATTTCAACGATTTTGTTTGTAGCGGAAGATGGAGAAGAAGAACTGACCAGCCTTTTAATAGGAGTCGGCAGCTGCCTTTGGAGAGTACTTTAGGTCTTGGTGCGGCAGCAACAGCAGCAAGAAATAGCACAAGACTAAGTTGTCTTCAAAATGTCAGGACATATTATCCAGATTACTTGAAGCARCTTGATAATAAAACGGCAGCAAAACATCGAGGTATGGATAATATTATTTATACACTGCATAGAAATATGACGACCAATTTGAATAACTATTGTTCTTACATGTAAGARAGGCTAGTCAGCYCAAAACAATAGCTATTCAAATTGGTTTCCATGTTTCGATTCCATTTATATACCTACACGTATTTCATAAAAGGGTTTTTGGAGCCAAGGACGATAGGCAATGATAAGCATTAGGAGATAGGTCCTGACCATGGATTCTGTATACAGTACCATTTCTGACTGATATCTATTTTATTGTGATTTCCTCGATTCGTCACTTTTGTCCTCATTGTTGACCAGCATTTCTGTTCTCTGCCCAAACAGACCAGTGTGCCCTGATTGATCCTAAGGCCAGAGTTGATTGTGGATGGCCTGGCATGAAACCATCAGAATGTGTKAAGATGGGCTGTTGTTTTGATAGTACTGTAAAAAACGCATATTACTGTTTCTACAAACCAAGTGAGTATACATTGGAGTATTAAGATATGGTATTTTTATTTATTGATGTTGTAGATGGTGGCATTGGTTAAGGTGATGATGTAGATGATGATAATGACATAGATGATGGTGATGATGATGTGATGATGATGGTGGTGATGACGATGATGGGTGGTGGTGGTGATGATGATGATGATAATAATGGTGATGATGGTGATGGTGATGATGATATAGATGGTGATAATGATGATGTATGTAAAAAGTGATGGTGATGATGGCAATGCCAATGTTGATGATGATGGTGGTGGCAGTAAAGGTAATGATAAATCCATGACGTAGATGGTAACCATGGTGGCGATGGAAATGGTTATGATGATGATGATGTTGTAGATGGTGATTGTGGTGWAGGATGATGGTAGATAGGCAAATGGAAAAAAGCAAACATCGAAGTCGATCCAGGTTGAACTGGCTGTGCATTATTCAGCACACGTGAACTATACGTAGACAAAAGACTTTGCAGAAGTCTATTAATAGTATAATCAGTGTTATTAATATCCATTCGTCTTCTTTTCCAGGAAAGGCCGAATGTGGTTGTCTAGTTAGTTTAGTCACTCTCAGTGCCTCAGGAGTATCGGGTCAGACACAGAAAGCAGCCTTTGATCGCGGTTTTGTACAGCTAGCGCAGTTGTTCCTAAAGGGAGAGGTTCTCTACACTCCTGATAATCCAACCACTAGAGATATCATCAACAAGGTATATTATCTGATATCTATTCTCATAGAATAGAATATAAATAAATCGCGCTTTCTGATTGGTTCGGGCGCATGTTTAATGAGAGCATAAAGCATGCATGCGCACTTATGTAGTTTTTATTAGTAATGGTAGCTTAGTTAGGTGCCCCTATTAATAGAAGGATCTTCCCTTTAAGTGCCATATACGTTTTGACCAAAAATAAAGTTTTCACTCTTTCAGTCATTCACTTTTTATTTCRTCATTCGTATTCAATATAATGCATTTTAAAAATTTGTTTGTATTTTATAAAAGAAATAAAAAAACTTGCTTTTTATGTTATGCACAATTGTAAATCACTCTGGAATTGACATCTTTGCCTGGTGAAGAGTAATAACAATAATAATAATTTTATTCTTAAACGCGCATTACATGACATCTCAATGCTCTTACAGTAGCAGATTGCAGTCGAAACGTCACGGCCTATTACAAATGACCATCAATCTTGACACAAACGACTAAGTATCATTTATCACAAGAGAAGTGTTAGGGGAAGCACGGCACGTAGTGCTTTTTCAGTTTTTTCGTTACCTCTTATAGAGAGAGGTGACAGTGTAACAGTGCAGAGTCAACACTGTCACGGTACGGAATTGCATGACGATATCTTTTGGCCCAATCTCAACACGCAATATCGAATGCTTCTCCAATCAAAATGCTCAGACACTGTGAYGTCACGGTCACGTCACGTTTGCTAAATAAATGTTGGTTTATGTTGACCAACTTAAAAARGCTCCCATATGTGGTGCGCCGTACATAAATCCTTCAGACTCCCACCTCCTAGGCCATAAATAATGGCCTCTCATCAATGCGCTGGGCTCGGTGTCGTACGTGAGTTGAGTTGCTCTATGGTTCCCTCCCTTCCAATGCTATCATGGAATAAGGGCCACAGGTTTGTTAGCCACTGGCTGTTAAATGCTACAAGGATGGGTCACTTGCTGCGTTGTGTAACAATAAGACCTACTCTTAAATTTCAGGTCAAAAGCGAGCTGTCTGATATTGGACTGATTGAACAGTTCGCTGAATGGTGGGTCAACAACTCTGACACCATCAGWGAAAGTGTGCTGAATGCAAATCAAATCTACCAAAGAGTCATGGAATTGTCCAGAAATCTGAGTGGAAATGCTACAGCGAGACAGGTGAGGGTTTGAAAGTTTTTATTTATTTTTGTAGCATTTTAAAATTTCGAGCTTTAATTGAACGTGATTTTTTTAAAGAGGAGTGACATTTTGATTATGATTGAGGAGGCTATCACGCGAGCATGGCCGAAACGTCATGCTCCTTAAAAAACAAACAAACAAACAAAAAAACAAAAAAAACAAAAAAAACAAACAAAAAAAACGAAAAAAAAACACGCGTTTAAGCCTTCATGTCCATAAGCAATCATGTGCAAACGCAGAAGCCTCAAAGATGCAATTTTTAGATTTGTTTTTGGATGTCCCTTTATTTAAGCACCCCTATATATATATTATTGTTACTACAATTTTTAAATTTGTTTTTGGATGTCCCTTTATTTAAGCACCCCTGTATATATATTATTGTTACTACAATTTTTAAATTTGTTTTTGGATGTCCCTTTATTTAAGCACCCCTGTGTACACATACTTGCAAGAACGTTGTCATACGAAAATAGAACATTAGTGATTTAGTGGGGCAGGAATTATATTAAAAAACAAAAGAAGATCACTGAAGCTGAACTTTTTCTTTTGTCTTTTAATGTATTCCTTTCTCACTAAATTACTAATGTTCTAATATCGTATGTCAACGTTCTTGCAAGTAGGTGTATATATTATTGCTATATTATTGCTACTACTACAAAAATTGATCCAGTCCAGTTGCAAAATTCCCAAAATTGGGGTGGTTGAGAGTGTCTTAGGGAAGGGGGAAGGGGCGGTTTCGTTTTGTACTCCTCTCTCACCTATTGGGCATCGGGTTCGATTCCCAGACTCRGCATCACATGTAAGTGGAGTTTGTTACGTCTCTCCCTTGATTCAAGGGCTTTTCTCATGGTTCTCCATGCTTTCCTATCTCTGCGAAACCTAACAAGCTAAACTCCAATTCGGTTTSTGAGTTCGCTGTTTCCTGGTTTTGATCAGCCCCAGAGGTCGTTTCAAGGCTTAAACTGTGAACTAGCCGTGCCTTGACTTTGATTATCGCAGACAGAGGTCAAAATATCTGACGCACAATTCATTAAAGAAATTGTCCTGCCACTTAAATTAAAGTCTTACAAATTCTATCTAAATTTCCACAGAATTTGATGAACCTGACAAGACAATTCAACATACCAGTATTTGAAAACTTGCAGCGGTTGGCCAACATGTCTCGCATGATTCCTTCGCTTGCCAATGGTAACAACAGCATGAATGTGAGTCTACTGCTCGACAGCATTGATAACGTGTTCAGGGAGGTCRTYGCCATCTACAAGTGCATTCAACATGAATATTTCGTTGGGTATGCGAACGAGGACTCGTTAGTGAGACGAGCAATGAATACATCACAGGCCCCTGTTATTGCAAGTAAGTTTGGTTTTGATTGAATAGAATTGAATGGATTGAATTTGGGAATGGAGGGTCGTGTAATGGTTGTCCACTCACCTCTTCCATCTGGAGTCTCTGGTTCTACTCCTGGACTCAGCATTACATGTGAGTGAAGTTTTKTTAGGTCTTTCTCTTGATTCGTGGGGTTTTCCCTCGGTTTTCCTCCCTCTGATTCTGATTCGATCTGTGAGTTCGCCGTGCCCTGATTTTGATCAGGCGATCTTAAAGCCCCGTTTACACTGGCGATTTTTGCGGCGATTTTTGCTGCGATTTTTGTGGCAATTTTCSGAAATATGAAATCTTTTGTSTCATCCTTAAAAWRAGACATTCGTCTAGGAAAATCTTGGTATCTTGAAAAAAACTTAACAAGTAAATTCTTTACCATTATTTAYAATGGACAAAATCGCAAAAACGCAAAAAAATCGCAACAAAAATCGCTAGTGTAAACGGGGCTTAATGGCTTTAAACATGCCCTAAACGCGTCTTAAACGCGCCTCAATCGCGCCTCAAGGACAATCTCGAGCCATAAGGGAATCTATGATGATGATGAGCCACATGTGTGTTTCATGCAAGGTTTGAAGTGTGAGTGAGTTAGCCGTGTTCTGGCTTTGATCAGCCCAGAAGCTATTTCAGGGTATTGATCAAATTTGAAGTTTCTTTTGTTTGGACCAGCAACAGCTATGTTGCTTGGCAACGTTGTGACATAAATATGTCGTCATYAATCTATTTAATTTGTTTTCAAAGGTCTGGTTTTTGAAAATCTCAATGATGATAAAATGCCTAAACATGTCAAGTACAAGATACGACAGGATATTGATTACACCCCGAGGACAGACAGAATACGAGGATGGTAGGAGTTTTAACTTTTTGTTAACTTGTGCCCCAATGATTGACCAACCGACCGACCAACCGTTTGTCTGTCCGTCCGTCGCTCAGAATGGCAGGCGGACAGACAGACAGACAGACATRCAGATAGAGACAGACAAAAAGCATACATATAGATGGATGAACAGGCAGAAGGATGAAAGTATGGACAGACAGACAAAAACAGACAGGCAGGTAGAAGAGCAAACAGACAGACAGACAGACATAACATAGAGACAGATAAACAGCATACATATAGATGGATAAACAGGCAGGAGGACGAAAGTGTGGACAGACAGACAAAAACAGACAGGCAGGTAGAAAGGCAGAGTGACAGACAGACAGACGAGGACAATAATATACATAATATATAATACATAACAATRATATAATTTACAGGTACTGGAGACCAGGCCCTCGTGAAGGATTTACTARCAACGGCTATTTGAACTTTGGATTTCTGTTCCTCCAAGATCTAATTGACCGTGCGCTATCAAGTGCGATGCTTAACGAAACCATCTTCGAGCCAGGAGTCTACCTACAGCCATTCCCTTATCCATGTTACATTCATGACAGGTAACTGTTCTTCCCAACCCCACCCCTGTCAGGCTGCAATAAAGAATCAATCATTGTTAAAGGARGCAGTGACTTTTACAATGCTTTTGCACTCTTTTTCGCATTGGTATTCAACTCTTGTTAGTGTCAGAATTAAAGTACGCTGAACAAACTTCAAATATCCTCCCCCTCAAACCCCCATTTTATAAGCTATAGTCCACTGTAGTATGTTAGCGCAAATAGTATTCTTCCAGTTATAAGCCCCCCTCCCACCCCGGTTATAAGGTACCTCTTGTACCTCTTGTTGATGACATTGATGTCAAACTGAAGGTTGACTGGAAAATTAAAAAAGGATAATCATTTCCTCTTCATTCTATTTTTTTCCCTTCCGGTTATAAGCCCCCTCCTCCTCCCCAATTTAAGCCCTCCCCGTTATAAGCCCATCAAAACCAACCCTTACGAAATAATATACGTCCATAGCTTACAACCGTATTTCTACTCGTTCTATAGGTTTGTTTGGTACATCAGTGGACCCATGCCATTACTCATGACATTGGCATGGATATACAGCGTGGCCATGATCATTAAGGGAATCGTGTACGAGAAGGAGAGGAGGTTAACCGAAGTCATGAAGGTAAGTATACTGAACGAGAACTTAGTTYGTTATCCTTTGCGTTTTAAGAATCAAATTTCCTTGGCTTCGTATTACTGATCCATGGTTGGCAAGAATAGCGTAGCGATAAAACGTTGGACCTTCGCCACTGTTAATCCAACGGGTCGCATCGCTGGCTCGAGCTATTCACCATTTTCCATRCACTGGTTCACCGGTCAAACACAAAGCGCTCAAGCGAGGCGCCAAGGCACTTTCAAATGATTATCCAAATTTRAACCTTGCAACCTCGACTGAATGCTTTGTGTTTGACCAGTGAACCGATGTATGAAAAATTGTGAATTGCTTTTACTAATGATTTTTCTGGATTGGCGGAGTCTCGTACCCAGACCTACCCAGAGCCTACGTTACTTCAGGCCTGCGACGAAGAACGACGGCTCTGGCATAATCCATTTTTTGAGACCAGGATTTCTTGGACTTCCGGTATAAGAGCGCATGCGTTCAAAGACTTGCCAAAAATAGAAAAGTATGTTCTCGATTTCTGATTTTTATTTTGATCGAAAGTAAACACAAACTCTTTATTAAAGGATGATTTTCATTGTTTATAGTTCACTACACTTGCGCATGCGCTAAAATGAATGGCCGGAGGCCAGAAGAAACGCAGGCTCTGGGTACGAGATTGGATTCGGCGGCAACTTAAGCCCCAAGCGCATGCGCGCTYGCCAGTCTCTGAAGGACTCGCTACAAACTGTTTACCGTTTAAGCTCGTTTTCTGTTCGTAGGTGATGGGTCTAGGTAGGACAGTCCAYTGGTGCGCATGGTTTATCAACAGTGCGATAATCATGCTCATCACCATATTCCTCTTGGTTTTCACCATGAAATATGGCAAAATCCTGCAAAACAGTGATCCACTTATCGTGATAATCTTCCTGGTGGTATTCATGATATCTACAATCATGATGTGTTTCCTGATCAGCGTGTTCTTCTCGCGCGCAAACGTGGCCGCAGCCTGTGGGGGAATAATCTTCTTYGTGACATACCTACCGTACTCGCTGGTCCGGTGGTACGAAGCATTTATGACGACAAGTGAGAAGGCAGTCGCGGTAAGTCAGACACTGTGCATCTCTATTCATAGTAGTTAATATACACCACAGATACCTTTGAAGGAATCAAGGATGGTGTTGCGGTAGTGCTCTCCCCTCACCCTTCTTGGGTCTCGGGGTCGCTTTCTAGACTCGTCATCACACGTGAGTAGAGTTTGTTAGGTCTCTCCCTTGATTTGAGGGTTTTCGTCCGGGTTCTTCGATTTTCCTCCCTCCGCAAAACCTAACGCGCCAAATTCCAATTCGATCTGTGAGTTAGCCGTGCCCCGACTTTGATCAGCTAAGCGACATCCCCAGGTTATCGATCAAATTTAAAGGTTTTTGTATGATATCTCGCAAGAACATCATCAACGCTATCCTGCAACAGTGATTCTCGYTTTTMTTCCTTTATTYTCGACYTCATTCTAKTTGACATTTCTCTTTCCAGTGTCTYTCTTCGACCACAGCATTTGGCGTGGCTTGCAGTTACTTTGCCAGGTACGAAGAGCAAGGGGTAGGGATGCAATGGTCCAACTTCTACTCCAGTCCAATAGAAGGCGATGGATTTAGCCTTGGCTACGCCTTGAGTATGATGATGATCGATGCTATTCTGTATGGTATTCTCACGTGGTATATCGAAGCTGTCAGACCAGGTTAGGGATGAGTTGAATTGATTTTCACCATTTGACCTTTCTTAATCGTGCTTGCGACGAACGTGGTTTTGGTGGATGTCAATGACCACGACGTTTCCTTAACATACCATAGCCTCGTGTCCTTCTCAATCATTCCCAAAGGCTCGCCTTGCGTGGAATCGTAGTGATGGACATTCCATAGGATTGTGCCTTATAGTTCTACATGATTAACCATTCTCAATGGCACGCGCGGAGTGATAGGATAAAGACGTCGATCTCTCAGGTTATCTGTCCTTGTATGCATGACACTGTATGCCCTAATGATAGGATAAAGGCGTTGATTTCTCAGGTTATCTGTCCTTGTATGCTTGACACTGTATGCCTTAACGCCTAGTGCTTTATGCCTAAGGTATTACCTTCAGACTTACACTAGTCTACATAATACCTTGTATTTATAGGTCAGTATGGTATCGCCAAGCCTTGGTACTTCCCATTCCTCAAGACTTACTGGTTTCCTGATGATCAAAAATCTGGACAACAGTCAAGTCATAGCTCTAACAACTCCGCACGATCTCAATCTGGACAATCTGGATCTGCTGGTCAAGATAGAAACATGGTAAGAAAATGAAAAAAAGAAAAAAGAAAAAAAAATCTCGCTACTATTATTTACTTTAACATTTTTTCATTTTCTATTTATTGATATTCTCTTAATTCGATCTAATTATATCAATTATATCTAGAGATTATCTTTTTTTCCAGGCTTCTGGTATGGACGAGGTTAGTTTTAACAACGAAGACCAGACCAACGAGGATGTTGCAGTAGAGAGTGAGCCAAGTCACCTTCCTCTTGGAGTTTCCATCCATGGGCTTGTCAAGGTAAAATCAGAGATTTCTGCTGTGTGTTCTGTAAAGCAGCTGAATCTGTACTACCAAATTTCCATGGTGAAATGTTGATACCAAGTTGCTAGTGGTACTTGCTTGGTCCAGGATTAATAGGTTTTTATTGTCAAACAATTGATGGTTTTCAACCATTCCCAAGAGAATTGAATAACAAAAGACACGGCGGCCATGATGGAGGATATAACAAAAGAATTTATTTGCAATTCTTTTGTTAAGTTCCTCCAACATGSCCGCCGTGAAAACCATCAATAGCGAACATCCCAGCATTTCTTTTTCATTGCATGACAAAATATAGCTTCCTAATCAAAATGTGGGGGGGAAAAAAGAAGAAGAAAAGAAAAAAAAAACAATGTTGGAAAGGCTGCTTAAGGTGACGTCCATATTTTGGCAGTTACCACTGGGTCCACAACGCTGCCAAAACTCGCTCACTTGCACATTTGAACATATTTGAACTTTAGATTTACACAGAAGACAACAAACTGGCTGTCGATGGTCTCAACCTCAAYCTCTAYGAAGGACAAATAACCTCCTTTCTTGGACACAATGGTGCGGGCAAGACYACTACCATGTCTATYCTTACTGGTCTTTACTCACCTACATCTGGGACGGCGCTGATCAGTGGGATGGACATTCGTTCTGATATGGATGGCATTAGGAAGAGCCTGGGCATGTGCCCGCAGCACAATGTCTTGTTCGACCAGCTGTCTGTCGAGGAACATCTCTGGTTTTACTCCTTGTTGAAGGGGATGGAGAAAGCCAACATAGGTGCAGAAATTGAGAAGTAAGTGCAGTACCTTGATGGCAATGTTGATGATGATGGAAGTGATGATCCAAGTGTTAGTGGTTATGATGATGAAATGGCAATGATGATGATGTTGATGGTGGTGATAATACAAGTGCTTTTAGTAGTGATGATGATAGTGATGATGATAGTGATGACAGGCATCCCAGACCTCCTATATATCCTATATTTCCTATAATTTGTATAGGATCCTATAAAGAGCCTATATTTAAAGAAAACCTCCTATATTTCCTATAAATAGGACAAYTGCTGAGTGATTCATTTATATTTTACACTGTTTAGCATATTTGGCGAAGGAAATAAAATGGCCCCTTTTTTTTGGTTCTGCTTTTATTTTTTATGGCTTTTTAGTTCTGAAAATCATTGCCTGTGCACCCTCCCGATCCCTGGTTACGCCACCGAAAAGCTATCTTAGCTCCTATAAAGTGCATATATTTTTGGGAAAAAATCCTATATTTTCCTATATTTAGAACTTGCACAGCCTATATTTTTCTATCAAATTTGTCCAAAACGTGGCTGGGATGCCTGTGATGATGATAGTGATGATGACAGTGATGATGATAGTGATGATGATAGTGATGATGATAGTGATGATGAAGGCATTGTTGATGGTGGTGATGATGAAAGTATTGTTGGTGATGATTATGATGGTGAAGATGATGATGGTGATGATAATGATTGATAATGGTGGGGGTTAYGGTGATGGTGGTGGTGGTAGTGCTGCTGATGGTGGTGGTGGGGATGTTGATGTTGGTGGTGATTGTGATGGTGATGATAGTCATGTTAATACTTGATGCCATTCTCTAAACAGCTTAAAAATACTAATGTTTTGTGTTTTTGGCCAGATTTCTAAAAGACATCGGTCTAGAGCACAAAAGGCATGAACTCGCAGGCAATCTGTCTGGTGGAATGAAGCGTAAGCTTTCTGTTGCATTGGCATTTATTGCTGGGTCTAAAGTGGTTATTCTGGATGAGCCCACAGCTGGGGTGGACCCTTATGCTCGAAGAGGCATTTGGGATCTACTTCTCAAATACAAGCAAGGTGAGAATTGTGAGGAAAAAAAAATTGTTTCATGAAAAAATATTTAGCGATAATGGATCTATCATCCATCTCATCCCATCCCATCCATCCATTCATTCCTCCATTCTTCAGTACATATGTATATTCCATCCCATTTCATCTTCATCCACCCAYTCATCCATCTATCGCATCCCATTCTTACATTCATCCATTCACCCATCTGATATCCATCCATGTTATCCATGTGATCTGATCCAGCCATTCTTGCGATCCTATTCACCTACCAAGCTTCTCATCCTCTCTCATCCATGTGCCAATTTTCTCTTGCTTTCTCCCATACCATATCTCCATTCTCTCACACGTTTATTCACTTGTCCCATAACTCCATCGGTTTTAAACTCCACATTCCTTCTATTCCAGGTCGCACAATCCTATTATCCACCCATCACATGGACGAAGCAGATGTCCTTGGTGACCGCGTGGCGATCATTTCTCAAGGAAAACTCCAATGCTGTGGTTCGTCATTGTTTCTCAAGGGGCATTATGGCAATGGGTATTACCTAACACTCACCAAAAGGACCCCTGGGGAGCGACCCTCCACAGCAGGCACCATTCGAGATGTCAAACTGCAACTAGAGGACCTTACAGAAACAAACTCCAGCTCTACCGATGAAGGTGATGAAAAGAACATTTACAATATAAGACTTTGCTTGCTTGCTTGCTTGCTTGCTTCATTAAAAAAGACTAGCACATACATTAGATAAGTATGTATTCATAAATGCGCATAGATTAATAAAAATCGATAAAGGTGTTGAACCTTATCATTTTTAAATTATTGTTTTAAAACCAATTCCCTTTCTCCAGGCGTATTTCTCGACTCTGTGGACGCAGGCTCCGARCGTGACAGCGTAGACTCCAGTAACTCAGACCCTTTTCCAGCCAATGACACAGAGCTCTTCTGCAGTGAAAACGYGGTCAGTTCATTCATCAAGAAGCACATTCCAACAGCGCAGCTTGTAGAACACGTCGGCTCTGAGTTGACTTACGTATTACCGACTGAAGCTGCTAAAGAAGGCAAGTTCCAAGACATGTTCGACGACCTGGACAGGAACCTGGGDAGACTTCACGTCGGCAGCTATGGTGTCTCTGATACCACACTGGAAGAGGTAAGCTGCAGAGCCTCGYACTTAATCCATATGTCAAGTCCATGTTGTATCTATTATATTTATGTTTCTGTAAATTTACTGTTATGTTATGTTTGTGCGTATTAGATTTAGACTAGGTTCGGGAACCCTGTGTTGTAAGTAGAGAGAGCCTGGGGCAGAGAAGAGAGAGTTTGTCGGTGTATCGTGTGGAAGCGTGTTGTTGTTCAAAATAAAAAGAAGCAAAATCACTCGTATCTTTTTCGTTTCAACATGTTATATCAGGACTCCATTTAAACTAGCCTTGCTAAACTGGATGTTCCTGTAGAAATATTGACTTGAAAAACAGCAACAAAGAGAAAGTGGCGTAGCGGTAGTGAACTCGCTTCTTACCTCTGGGGTCTAGGGCTGGACTCCTTTACTCAGCATCACATGAGTAGAGTTTGTTAGGTCGATCCTTTCATGAATCGAGGGTTTGTCTCCGGTTTTTCCTCTTTTTCCCTAACAATTTTTGACAACTCATTTTCTAATTTTCAGGTTTTTCTTAAAGTAGCGGAAGAAGCGATGGATGAGAAAGCAGGTACCCTCTCATTCCACTCTTCTTTTCTTTCCTTTCCTTTCGTTTTTCATTTCAAGAATTTTTACTGAATTCAATTATTTCATGTTTTTCAGACACGTTTGCTGCTGAGGTACCCAAGCGTCGATTCAGCTTCCGTCATCATCTCTTCGCCAAAGCGCGCGTACGTGATAGTTTGTCGGATAAATGTGACTTATTGGACTGTATGGAGGAAGAAAATAATGGTAAGTGTATCTAATATACCCCCCTGCAGTATACTATATGAGGATATGTTACATACATATAGTTTTTTCGCAACTGGCCTCTGAGGTGTCGGCTATGATTCCCGTACTCTAATGTGGTATTCTAATGTGAGTAGAGTTTGTTAGATCTCTCCTTTGAATCGAGGAAATTTCTTCGG